GTTAGGACGTCTTAGTAATAACCCTAATGTCTTAAGATCATATTCGAGGCAACATTTCCGAGACAACCTTTTCGAGGAAACATTTCTGAACGGGACATTTGATCTTTGTTTAGACAAGAGAGCAACCACTAAAATGCCCTATACTTAATGATCGTTTACCGAAGGCAACCAAAGTGGGAGTATATCCTAGGAGTGCGTATGTGCGAGTGATTCAATTTCAGGTTATTATCTTTGCACATTTAGGGTTTGCTAACCGTTTTAAAATTAACATACATTCTTGTCATGCAATCCTATTATCATACATCTAACAGTTAATATTTGCGAAAATTAAAATGAGGAAAATAAAGCTACGCTATTACAAGGCTTCGGGTGGGGGATTAATTACATAGCCAAAAACCTGTAAAACGATAAATGAAAGAAAAAACCTAATTAAACTATTACATCCCATGAGCAATTACATCAATATTGTAAAAATAAATAAACGCGCGCGATGAATTATTAACGAGAAAAATTAGGGTTTTGACCCCGTCTAACCTAATTAAAAGAAAAAACTACTTTTTGTTGTTTTTGATTATTTTAAGAAAAAGAATTAAATACAAATCTAACTACCAACTAATTTAAATTAATAAAAAAAATTATTTGGCATATTTGGTTATTTTGAGAAAAAGAAAATAAATATTAAATCAAGTAAAACCTAATTTTCTAATTTGTTTTAATTTATTTACAAAAAGAATTAAGGTTACCCTAAAATTAAATTAAACTAATTGAATTAATTTTTAATAAAATAAAAAGCCTAAATTCTAATTTGGTGAAAATTGATTTTATGGATTTTTGATAAAAAAAAGAATTAATTTTTGTGTTAGTAAAAATAAATTAAATAAAGTAATTAAAAGAGAATATAAAAGAATAAAGAAAAAGAGCATTGGGCCTGGTAATCAGCAATTGAGGGGGTGCCATTAGCAGCTTTTGGGCCAAAAAAAAAACCTGACCCACGTTTGAATTCCATGATTCACTGTTTGCACGTTGACTGGGGTCTTTGGTGGACTCTCTCATGCCAAGCGTTGGATTTGAATTGCTTTAGATCCAGTGGTTGCAAGTTGATGGCATATGGTGGACGTCTTGGGAATCTGCACAGGGAATCACATATAGAAAAATGAATTGAAGAAACAATGGGACCTGGAAATCAAACCCGAGTCCTATGGACTTTTCACTCGCCTCAACACCAACTGAGCTGGCACGCTTCTTTGTTCACTACACAACAATCAATCATTATATTAAAAGAAACATAAAATAAGAATTATAGCGTGCAAATTTCAAACGGAGGAATCAGGGCTCGCCACGCCATCATCCCTAACCTTTCTCCGTTGCTAAAAGTCTGATGATTTTTACCTACCGACAAGAAACATAGGTATAGCCTCTACAACTTTCCAAAATCATCTATACGCATGATAAATGAAACCTAAAGCCATAGACCAATTCGCCTTGGCCTGGTGAGCATCATGGTGCCCTTCTTGTGGACTAATTTTGCCTGTACAAAAAGATCCCAAAACGCAACAAGAAACCCTAGCAATGGCGTATCTCTATACAATTAGCTAAAATGCAATTAATTATTACCAACAGCTTGCAAATGCTTCCAGGATTCAGAATATATACATGATTCATGCTACAAATGCTTAAATAATGATATTTGATTTCAAGAATATGTCAAAACCGTGAATCACTTACAGCGGGTTTTAGTGCACGAAAAGGCTTGCTTTTGATTTCTATAGATTCCTTGAATGCCCAGGAAACGAAAGGGATGCTTGGAAAGGCTTGAAAGTACCTGGAAATATAAAAACAGATCACCACTTTTCCTTGATTTTTTGAAGTTTGCTCTCCAACCTACACACCTCTAAAACCCTCTTCTTTTGGTCTGCATTTGTCCAATATATATCAATGATTGAATTAGGTTTGCAAATGTGCATTCAATCTTTTTCAATTATGGTCTTTGATCATGATTTGATTCCCATGAAGATCTTTCCAAAATAAGCCAAAAACCAATCTTTTTATGCACAAACATGCCTTGCACGATTTAATTTTGTTGCTAGCTGTATAAGGGACCTGAAATATGCACCAAATCTCAAGGCTTAAATGATTTTGATATTTCCATGATTTATTTTGATTTAATTTGATTTAATTGAAATAAAAATCAAAATAAATGGAAAAAATAAAATAAAGTAAAGTGGGAAGATTCATGGCTCTTGGACCATGTTACAAACTTAAGACAAGTACAAAACGTTGGGCTCATTTGACAAAAATTGCAATTTGAGGCATATTTGACTTTTGGCAATTTTGCAAAAAAGGTCAACTTCACCAATGCATAACTTCTTCAATTTTGACTCTATGAAGGTGTTCTTGGACTTTTTGGAAATCTCAAGATGTCCTCTAAGCAACCAATTGGGTCTCATCTAAATTGAGTCTTCCATGTTCATGTATGAAGCTTTGAAAAAAAAGGTGTTTTTGTTGACTTTTCAAAATGACCTATAATGTCCAAATTCATAACTTCTTGTGGGTGCATATTTTTAACTTGGGAGCTGAAGATGAATTGTAGGGCGTTGCATCCTCTTCCATATGAGATTTGGATGGGTCATTTCTCATAAAGTATGAGAAAGTTATGCTTGGTCAAAATTGAGTTGACTTTTCCTACAAAACCCTAATTTAGCAACTTTTGAGTTTTGATGAATTGAGAGCAATCCTTGAGGAATCATGATCAAACCTTGATCAAATGATGAATAATACTTCAAAATGAGAATGTTGACCAAAAAATCTTGAAGTTTGACTGTATGTGGGCCACAATTGACTTTTGCCCTAGCACATTCGATTTTTAGGCTTTTGAGCAATTGACTGAGCAAATTTCCTCTACAAGGCTTGAAACTTGACATGGATGATCTTGAGAACATATTAAGACAATGGGGAGAATTTGGGATATCTTGGAATCAAGTATCTCGATGCAAACTGAAACCCTAATTTGAGATAGACCGCCTTAGGCAAGAGTTTGTCTGGTCAACCCTTGGACTTCCTTGGGCAATTTGAGGGTCTCACTTGAAATGTATTGAGAAATATGAGAGGGAAAATTTTGGGGTACAACAACAGTGATCATAACAACTAGTCTGAAGGAGAAAGACTGTCTTTTCCCGATCATCGAATGCAAAGAGAGGTAGTACAAGTAAGCGAGAGGTTTAGAGAAATACTCGACCATAAGGAGAGGGAGAGAAGCTAACCCCCGTTCCCAAGTCTTCTTCCACCTCACTCCTGGCTCTGGAAGGTCGTTTCTATATTCGTATATAGAGATAGATGTAAGGTTGGGGCTGGACCGGGCGGACACCAGCTTCCGACGTACAACAAGATCAAGCCCAAACGTCGTTCAGTTTTTTCCTCCTCTTCCTATTCTATTGATCAGAAGCACCCAGCAGTGCCACGTTGCTACTCCTCAAATAGGTGGCGGTTTCTTTGAATGAACTCTACAGTTGACTGTAAGAGTTCTTCTTTTTGGACGCGCGCTGCTTCATCTCTATGGGCATCGCGTGCTTTTATGATATTAAACCTCTCGCCGTCGAAGCCCGACCTCCGCTTGTTTAAGGAGGTTGGCGTTCTCTTGAAGACGATGTCGGTTATCCTATCGCAATTGGTCTAAGTGTTCCTCCAAAAACAAATTAGAGTTAGGATCATCCCGCGTGTGACTTTCTACCTCTGCAACGGTCACGCTCCTAGGGGACGAGACAAATTATGGTGGAGATCCCTCTGAATCCATTTCCGAGGAGGCATGGGGAGTTCGACTGAGATGCCGGAGACTCATAGCGTGATGTCCCCTCGCCGAGAGGCATCATATGGTTTTGGTATATGAGCAGCGCTCGTAAAGTAAAGTCTACAGTCAAGGCAAGCCCTGCTGAGCAGCCCAACCCTCTTAGAGCAAAGGATAGGGCTCGACCGCCCAGAGAGAACCCAACCTTTGAAAGTAAGGCATGAAAGAAATCCAATTCCTTGAATTGCTGACAAAGAAGATAGAAAATACCTAAAAAGGTAAAAATAAAGAGAAACTAAGATTGAAGAAAAGGAGTCAAACTCAAGATCGAACTTATAAAGATAGGCGGATTAAAAGTACTTAAAGCCCCGCCTTACTTTCGCGTATTTAGGGCCTAACTTTGTAAAGCGTTTTAATGTTGGAATTTGTGTTTCATATGAGGCAAAATAAACATGGGGGGCCGTTTTCTTAAGTAGTTGTTGATTGAGGAAAAACCGTCAGCTCTATCTTTTCTATTTCGACGGTTTCCTACAACGAAAAGAGACTGCGTCTTCAATATAAGTCTTTCTTGTGAAAGAATAGGGCAGCATTTGTTTGTGGCTCCCTCACACCACTGCCGGTGACCTTGCAAACTCTAAGGTCCTTTAGGCTGTTGGGTTAGTAAGAACAAGATAGTGGGATTTCCCGTGTAATTTCGACACCTTGGACTTCGGCATCTTTACTTAGGGATACCCTTGGTAAATCATCTTTCTTTTCCCTGCGAGAACAACTCTTCTTCAGCTACTGAAGCTTGCAGGTGTGTAGCTGCACCGAGCTTTCTATTTTGAATTCGGGTTCCCACGGTATTTATGAGAGCCTTTTTTCCTCGGATCATGTTGTCTGACGTCCTTCTTGATGAGACATTTTTCAAAGTCCCTTGTTTTAATTCGACAAAGAGCTTCTTTATCTTACGCAATTTCGAGATCAGGATATTGAAGAATACCTTCTACGTGTAGCTAAGTAGCTTCAGATTCCTTTTCCTTGGTTGCCGATCAAGGTAGAGTCTTCACAGGTGATCAAGTAAAAGAGTTTGCTAATATATCTAGTTTTTGTTGAAATGATTCACTCAACACCTTTGCTCAGGCTAATGGACAGGCCGAGTCTTCCAAAAAAATAAGGTGAACTAGCTTATAAATAATGATAAAGGATAACCCAAGCAAGGATCTGACATGAAGTGTAGTTAGAGGCTCTCTAGGCATGTCGGACAAAAAGACCGAGTTTCCATTAGGAGGTGGGACAAGAAGCTTAACCATACTTGGCTTTGGAAAGACTTCTGCTCGACACGTTCAAGCTTTTCCGGGAGGATCTTTTTTAAATATTTTATTCCCAGGTTAAAGACTGGGGAGGGTTTAACTAAATATCCTGACCCCTGACCCATAGTCTTAATGGATCTGATCTTTCCTGCTATTCCTAAGGAAAGGATAGTATTCAAGGCGATCAGAGTCAGCATCGGCATAAGGGAAGAAAAAGTGGCAAGAGTCATTCCATTCTTCCTCGGCAAGAGCACCCGAATCTGAATTTTGTTTTTGGCCTTGTCAGTATCCCTTTGTGAGTCTTCTGCTGAAGACTTTCTCCTTAGTAGTCTCCCAATGGCCCTTGACCGGTGTGGCTAAGCCAATACATAATCACCATAACTTAGTGACGAGGGATCTCTGCGGCTAAGAATAGAAGGTGGTGTACTAGTTCTCAGTAAGTATTGGAAGAATCCCATGAAATGTTCATCCAAAGAGGGATTTTAGTTAGTGAAAAAAGACCTTCTTTTTCTTGTTACCTCCTGCCCATAGCCATGCACTTAATAAATAAATATCATAGGAGTAGTAGTGCTAAGCGAAGCATCAAAGCAGAAGGAGCTTGACACCATTGAATCAAGTGTTGCAAGACTACGTATGAAAATAGAATCCCCAGATGATAGGGGCCCGGGAACTGAACGATGTTAGCGCAAGGGGCTTAAATTAAAAGGCAGGTAGCATTCGATAAGCAGGCAGGTTTGGGAAACTAGCACCAGGTACTAGGTCGATGGCATGCAGAATACTCCTCATCGGTGGTAAACCATGGGAAGAGAATCACCAACCAACTTCTTCAAATATTTTAATAGTATCTGAATAAAGAAGAATGTCGAGAGAATAGTTAAATGCCGACGAATAGCGTAGGAAGTAACCAAGTTTGAATGGTGGAAAGCCAACAAGGGAAAAATCATTAGTTTCAGCGAAGCTATTCTTTACCCCTTAACAGTCAGAGAAAAGTACTTTCAGGCAAGGTCGGCTAGCGAACCCCGCTACTCCTTTGTATTTTAGGAAGGGAGGTCTGAGTCAAAGTCATTGTGAATCCTCAGTTTGAAGGCGATTCACCTTCACCCAACATCTTTTAAAGTTTTAGTCTGATTATTTATCATCTGCCTGCGGCTCTGGCCGGCCCATCTTCCTCCATGTCCTCATCCGAGGTTCAAACAATTGGTCATCATTCCTGGCCTGGCCGGCTGGCCGAGGTCGAGTTCCTCCCTTATTTATAATCTATATGACTTTCTTCGTCTCTATTATTTGATTTATCAATAGCCAAAACCTTGACTTTCAGGTCTGCGAGAGGTCAATGTACTAGAGCTCATGCCCAAATATGGGCTTTCTTTTCTCTTGAACGCGACTTCCCTTCCTCCCTCATTCATGAAAATCAAAGGAAGCTTCATCGCGAAGGGATAGGGATGGCGCATTGGCTTGGTTGGCGGCTTGGCTTCGCTATCGCTCATGACTTGGTATAGAGTCCGTGTAGTCGGTGAGTACGAGTACAACCTATGAAATAAGCTTTGAGTTCCATTACATTGCAAAAATGAATTCCCGCCACTCTCCCTTCCAGTGAACCCCACGTGTCTGCCTCCGGCTTTGAAGCAGTGGGGAAGAAAAGACCTCGACTTAACTTCACTTGGGTTCGATTTACCTTGTTACTATTGGAATGATGGAATTAGCTCTTCTTCCTCTTTGCGTTAGCGACTCTGAGCTCATAGGGAGCTGGAAATTAGCTTGGTTAGTTGGAGAAGGGATAGAGTTGAAAGATTGGATTTTTTAGCGCGCCTTATGCCTGTCCTTTCCTGACTCTGTCGATGGTATGCCTGAGATGTCAGTCTTTCTCCTTGGCTTGTACTCGAGATTCCCTTTTTGTTCGAAATCAATATCTTCGCCTTTGAGAAAGGGAACGAAGGAATTCCGTCTGTTATCACAAGAATTGTTCAAGTTGAATGCGAATAATCGATTGAATCCGATCTTTGAAGACTTGAAGGACTAGTGTCCAATCCCGACCGATGTAGAGTAGTCCATTTTGGGAAGCACTTCCTCATAGGGAACTACCTATTGTCCTTCTTTCTTGTGGTGGAACCTGGGATTAACCCTCCCAGAAGTTATTATCTCCAAAACAAAAAAAGACATCTTGAATTTCCCACAAGAGTAAAACTATAATAGTATCTGACTCATATGGCGGCGGGGGCTGCGTCCCCCTCTCTTTCTGCTGGATGGGGAGTGCATCAGTCGGCTATGTCCCTGGACCTCCTGGCTTCCCTGTCACGTCCGAACGTAATCATAGAAGACCTGCCCAAGCACCGCACCACCTTGTGATCATAAATAAGAATATTCAATACAATCACAGGAAAGAGTACCCAAAAAAAAACCGTAACATATCAGGGTCGTACACCTGGAACAGTCGTACAATTTCGGCGATTCAAAAAGGAGTATATCCCTCTCCATTAGTGTCTTTCCACTTCCCTCGTTCAGGAACAAACCCTTCGCCTAATTCTTTTGATTCCCGGCCTGGTTTTTCCCCACTAACCAATTACGTTACGACCACTGAAGAAACTTGGTTGACGAACATGGTTTATGCACCGCTAAGGTAGCGGCTTGTCGAGTATTTGACAATCTCACACCATCCATCTCAAATAGGACTTGTCCCACGGAAACACGGGCAATCCAACTCGCATGATTTCCTTTTCCTCTTCCCATTCTTACTTCTGTAGGTTTCCTGGTAATAGGGATATCTGCGAAAACTCTTACCCATATCTTACCATTTTTTCGGAATTGTCCGCTCATAGCACGATGGAAGTGCCCAATTATAGCCCGATGCACTGCTTCAATGGCTCGATATGAAAGACGACCAGCTCTACAACTTTGAGTGCCATATCTTCCAAAACCTAGTTTTGTTCCGTCTGGTTTGCAACCCCTACTACATCTTCCTTTACGATGTTTACTAAATTTCGTATGTTTCGGATATAGCACGTCCCTTTTTTTTTACTATATGAAATCCACACTTTGACACCTGAGATTCCGTAACGAGTAGATACTTCCGCAGAAGCATAATCGATTTTCTGGTTAAATACATTACAAGATGTTTTTCCATACTTTCCGCATTCAGTTCTAGCTATTTCTGCGCCTTCTGATCGACCTGAACAACATATACGGATCCCCTCAACCCCTTTTTTCATTACTAATGGAATATCCTTAACTATTCTACTAAAAATGGAACGAAATGATCTTGTTTTCTTTCTCAGTTGAAAAGAGATGTCTTGAGCAATCGGAGAAGCACTTTGATAAACAGATTTGATCTTGACCGACTCAATTAAGGAATTAGTGTTTGTTCTATTAGACAACAAATATCGCATTTTTTCACTTCGTTCAAATAAGAGTTGTACCCGTACGGAATTTTTCTGTTTCTCAGTATGATCTATATCATCATCTCTATTCCCTTTATCCACTCTCCTATCCTACCTAGGTCTATGAATTTATCTATCAATTCCATTACCTTGTCCTTACCCATGAGGTTCCAACATTTGATCCTTAATTGACCTAGGAGTGGTTCCCGGGCATCCTAAAAAAAAGGTTATTATAAATCCCAACTTTATCCCTTGGAAAGAAAAAGGTAGCACCGAAGAAAGGAAAGAGCGAGATGGTGGTTTTTGTTGTTCCCCGCGAAGCGAAGATCATTCGCCAAGCGAATTAAGTGGGTCAACCTCTTTTTGGCTTCGGCCAAACACTTTTTCTCGCTGGTCGAACTTTCTACAAAAAAAAGCGATGCGAGAACGTATTCTCTTATCTAAGCTTCTTCCCTGCACATTCGCTCCCCCCATCATAGATGGTTTAGCCACACCCGGTGCCAAGAAATGATTGAGAACTACGAAGGGGTCGAAATGCATTTGGTTCTTTCTACAAAAAAAGTATTGCATGACCGAATAATTCAAGGAGGGGCGCACTGCATGGAGGGTCCTTTGAAATAGATGACTCTTCGGGCCGTCGGAGCGGGACTTCTTGGGGAAAAAGAACTTAAAAAACTTCGTTTTTCTGAAGGAGTCGTAATTTTCTACAAGGAACGCTATGTCATTTACAGCCCCGGCGTATTTCAGATGCTTGAAGGCCCCGCTGACCCGAAGTGATTTAGAAAGATTCTTCTTTATCAATGGTGATCGGTCATGGTATCCATAGCGTTGCTTCTTTTTCGGCCAAATCCTAATTTAGTTTTGCTTCTCCCGGTCGTCGAGCCTGATCGACTCGACTCTTTTCCCTGCCCTCTGGCCTCTCACTTCATTTCGTTCTTCTTCTTTCTTGTTGCTGGAATGAAGACACCCGATCGGCCCCGACTTTCCTAAATGCCCACCACCGGCCCTTCTCCTTTCCGGGTCTGGATTTATCGCGTCGTTTCAGTCGTCATGGTCGACGGGGAAGAAAGAAATGAATGAATGTTCTTTGGGGAAAATGTATAAGAATACACCTACCGAGACGAAAGCCAAAGGTTAGTCTCGCATGTGGACGTATCGAACCGAAATAAGATCTCAGATTGATATCTTGATAAACTAATTTACCATAATAATAAATAGAGTCAATCGTGACTCCACCGTGGGAATAGTCGCTTCTTTCTTGCTTGATAGAGGGGCTTCTATTCACCAACGCTGACAAAAAGTGCTCTCTGAACCGTGCTGGATAGTCACCCCACACACGACTCTCAAACCCAACCTATGGTGAATCCCGGGAGACAAAGTCAAAGCGCTTGATCCTTTTCCCCATACTTTGAGATGCTTCTCCCTGCCGATCAAGCAGCGACGCTGCTCATGATAGGCTTAGCTTTAAGCCGCTATCGTTCGGTTCGAATAAGTAAAGTCCCCTTGGTCGGTTCGCTCAGGTGGTCTTCCCTAATCTTCTCTTCTCTAACGTTCAGAGTTGTTCTGGTTTAAAAAAGGAGCACCGGCCGAGCATCCTGAATGAATAATAAATGGACAACAAAGGGAATCAATGATTCTTATTCAACCGAGTTGAAGTTAGCAACATGTCGATTACACACCAGAGGTTGGTAAGAACTGAGGGACAATTCCCCCCCTAACCTAAGTGGGCCTACCAACGAAACAACTGAACTGAGCGTACC